TCCCCCGCCCCCCCAGCCCACACCCCACGACCACCACACCACCAACAGCAGCAGCAGGCATGGAGTCTTTATTAACAAGCGGGGGAGTGGAGTTGGAGGCGCGGTGGGCAGCAGGGCAGGCCTTGTGGAGGGACAGAGACTGGAGTACACGGGCTCGCTGCTGTCCACACCATGAGAATATTACTGTGTTGTGGTCAGGACTGTTTGTCCACACTTTACACGGACACTGGACCTCTGGATTAGGTTTGAAAAACTGGATCTCTTTCTTCTGGTCTTCAAAGGAGCATGCTGGGACACCACGGTGCAAAGTTCTATGTTTGTCCTCCATCAGGATCAGATGGGCAACAGCTGTTGATGATTTACTGTTGACTTAACCTCTATTTTATTTACACGACTGTAGATATGTGGTAATTTGTTTTTAATTGCACGTGTTTAAGCATTAAGACTCTATTTAGACCTGGTATTAACTCCTGTCCTCCATGATCTGATGACGTGTGGAGCACAAGGGTTCAAGTTAAATGTCTCAGTGAGTGTGCCATCAATGAGATCACGTCTGGACAAAACCATGTCTCTAATGAGTGTTGATATAAAAGTGAGTCCATTGTCTTAATGTTAGGGACCATTAGAAAGAGAGGGGCACAGTGGGAGCATTAGCCACAGCATTCAAAATAGGATTTTAATAATTTAAAATAGACATGGATCATGTGGTGGTCGGTGTTAACAGGGTGATTTCTGGGCACAATAAATGATGTCATCAGTCACTGACGAGTGTAAATTAAATTTCCAGGTTTGATCTAGATGCTACCTCCTGCTAAAGAAAAGTCACATCAGCAACTATTTAGAGTATTTACATCAAACATGTGACTGTGTCACACCAGTCTACATGGGATCAGGTCACCCAGTTAATGTTGGGTTTTGAAGGGGTCTTAGTTCCCTCCTGAGTGGAGGAGGCATGACATGAAGTCTTGTTAATTTGCCTTCCTCCTAAAACAGCAACTCAAACCTTTAATGATCCTGAAGATGAAATGAAATCAAGAGTTCACATAACTGATACCAGAGAATGTGGGGGTGGAGGGTTATATGTAATTACAGTGATAAAAGCAAAGTCTGGCTGATGTGATTTTATTTTGAAAACAAAGGTTAGGCCCAGTATGTAATGGATACTGATCTGACACGTTGTTATAAATTACAAGTGTTTTTGTGTAACTGTTTTTAAGAGACTATTTTTTTTTTCAAATCCACCAAGTGTTTTTTTTTTATGCTTTAGGGAGGAAATACATAAGAAACCGAGGATCCGTAACAATTAAGTCAGTGACTTGTTTTATCGTTAGACAAAAACTCTGCTGATTACTGTCATTTTAAAATGAGACATTTTTAAAGTGCTTTATCATGCAAGTCGAGCCTTACGTAATAAAATGATGTTTTTAAATTCTGTAGCGGTCGGCCACTGGAGTCAAAAATGGCTCAGAGCCCGTAACCGTTTCCTGTCCAAACTAGATTTGGCCGACTGTACATCAGATCATCCATGAGTATCTCTGTTGTTTGTTGGCTAAATAAAAGTCATTTATTAGGAAATTAAACCTCTGTTGGTTTCAGTATGTCTCAGAGCTCAGATTGTGTTTCTACTGCCATTTAGACACAGTGATGACACATGTAGAGTGACACTGTTTTTACCCATCAGGCCACATCTGTTGGTACTGTTGGAATGTTTTATTACTGTATACAATATTACTGCAGTAAATAATGTCAGCCAAAGGGGATCTTTTAGAAAAACATTGAAGTTATTATAGGAGTGCAACTGCTGTCAATGTCAAAAGTCATAAACAGGGTAGATAATTATTATCACTTTATTTTGCTTTGACAACATGAGTTAATATTTTCATCTGAGCTGTTTCAAAATCACTTAACTTTTCGCTTAAGGGCACAAGGAAGCAC